TACCCTGGATGCAGTACACACACAAGTAAACATTAAGTTGATTCAAATACCAGTTTGATACATGTAATGCTTGCAGCTCAGACGCCGCGTATTTCTTTTCCCTCTGGCTGCCCGCTGGTGGTATCTATGGCCCATTCAATCCTCAGACCACTAGCTGGACAGGCCTGCGTGGTGACATCAGGGCATCGGGGTCTCTCCGCATATTTCAGCCACGGAGTTTGGCCTCACGCATTGTTGCTACATGACTGTACTAATGCCAGTAATGGTCGAGTCAAGCAATGACCTCCGGAGGCTGTACGAGTCCTCCTTTACCCTAAAGAAATATAAAGGAGGATCTAAACAATCATACACTTAGACCTGGTACACCATGTCCTGGGCATGGGAGGCCCGGCTCCCTAGCGAGTTGCGGCTTTTTACTTGCCACGGATGCAAACAAGGGAAATACTTCGAGAGCTGACAGGCGATCTGCACCGAAGCTTACCTGCAACAGTCCGAAACTGCACGCATCTCTTCTGGTTTCAACCTAGACTCGCTGTTCAAGTTCAGCAGAGTATCGAACATGTCATATAACTGAACAGTTCAGGGGAACGGTCTCCTGCTTGTGTGTCAGGTGACTCAGGTCGACGACGAACATTGGAGTGGAATCACTATTACCACTGCATTATGTAGTCACTCTTGGCACTGGTAGACTATCCGGATATCCGTCCATGTTCCCACGGTGCTAACACCAAACACTCACACAAGAGTCAAGACTCATCACACACTCACACCAGACTCACACAAGACTCACACATGACTCACACTCGTAGTGAGTCACACACGACTCACAGTCACACCAGACTCACACACGACGCACCGCATCCTCGCACGAACATTCACACAGCAGCGAGTTCTTGGCTGATGATTTCTCATTTAACTAGGTACTCAATGATCAGGAATGTGTTATTTATGGTGTGATTAGGAGTCGACTGGGTACATTACTACACAATCAAGACTTTAATTATGTTATGGTGGTAATGTTAATACTAGCAGTATAAGAAAGTAAGATTACGTTATATCTTATCCTATGATCAGGATCATCTACACTATAATCCAAAATAAAACTTAATGATACTTATAATGCACTGTGGCAACTATTAGGAGGGGAGCTCCGGAGCTGGAGGGGTGAGCGGTGAGGGGTGAGCATGATTACTTACAGAGTGTGTAAACCCTAGCGCTACGGACACTATCCTAAACTGCCGTTTATTATATTGGAATGGAGGAGGAGAAACCTATCCTCACGCCTGCATCAATCTTCATACTAAGACTAACTTACTACGGCTAAGTGCAGCATTGTCTATGCGATAGTGTGGGTGCCTAACTCACACCTTAACTCTCAGATAAGCTAAAAAAAAAAGAAGAAGAAGCAATTACACTGGTGATGAATGTGGCGAGTGAGTCATGGAATACTATTATCATTATGCAACTTGTGTAATACATTACTATGGGAGATTGGGCATGTCTGATTGGTTCTGAGTTCAATCCTCAGGCTCAGCGCATACACATTACAGTAAGAGCTCAAGTAAAGTATTCAGTACTATCCTGTATAGGATTATCGGCATGCACCGAGCAGGTAGGGAATGGGTCACACTATCAACCCTCAACAGTCTAGTCACGGGCAGTGAGAGAGCACAGTGTTGGATACCACGTTACACCTGGTTAGATTGCATCCTTGTCCTCTGAGGTGACCGTGTCGCTGATCTCGTCATTGGTGACGGAGTCAGGAGCGGCAGTCGTGGCAGCCTCGGTGGCCACCTCCGTGGTGGGTGCCTCGGTTGCTGCCTGCGTAGTGGGCTCCATCGCTTCTGTGGCTGCGGCCGTCACCCTCATTTCAGCAGGCGCTTGTGGATCCCTGGCCTGGACAGCCGGTGCACATTCATCCGATGAGTCGGATGAGTCGGATGAGTCGGAGTCGTCACTGCTCGAGTCGTCCTCGCTGCTGCGGCGGCGGCGGCATCCAGAGGCGGAGTCGGAGTCGGAGTCTGACGAATCATCCGAACTGGAGCGCACCTCAATGCTGCGTGCATGGATGGCCGCAATCACAGCCAGTCCAATGAAGAGGAAACATAGCACTTTGCGGGAAGATTCCATGGTGAAGGTTGGAGGAGATTGAAAACAAGCGTCTTGCTGTCTAAACACAAGGAAGTGGACACTTGTTGATCAAGAGCAGTCAGAAGATGAAGAAAGTGATCAGGACGTCCGCCCTCTTATACACTATGAGAAGAATAGACCCATCGTGTGTCCATCGTCTTCCAAAGCCAACATACGTACATTCGCACACGCACAAACACATACGCACTCACACACATGCGGGCGCGTGCATTTGAGCAGGCTTGCACATATCACATCTTTCCTTCTGATCATCTTCCTTCATCATCTCGCTACCACTGTCGCTAGCTGGAGTGCCTTTCGTAAACTGCTGAGGTTCCGGCGGAAATTCTAGCAAGAGCGTGGAAGTGCTTGAGTGTGTCTTTGGACAAGGGAATTCAGTATGTTATTCATGCTTCCCGGCGAGCTGTTCTTTTGAACTTCAAGCAGTACAGGTAATTTAGCGCTGCTGCGGGAGAAGTAATCAAACTTTCCCTTGAGATGATGACCAGTGGCGTGAAAACCTGCGATCGCTTCAGGAAGAGCGTCCGGTTCCCTCACCAAGCTCTCCGCCTGAGATATGTAAATATTACGCTCAGAAACATGACATGGAGAGGGAGAGTCTGCCGCGGAAACATTTCGGGGAGGCTTAGATACATATCGGCACATCGGTGGGTCTGTATCAGAGGCTCAATACGTGTTTGTTGCACTGCGGGCACTCGTCTGTGACTAGAACTGAGTGCAAGTATCGCTGTGTGACCGCAATGCACCCTACCTGGTCCCAACAAACTGCATTTGTCACGGGCAGGTGTAGCCTGTAGGCTGAACATCCCGGAGGCTGTTGATTATTGTGTGTTTACCAAGCTGTTCCACCTGCACGCCCGGAAATGAGAGGTCAAGTGGATTTGTCCCAAGTCTTTGCTGCTATAGAACCATAGGCATAGGGGCTGTAGGTACTCGTACCCGTCTCGTGGTGAACAATCATTATGTTATAGTAGTCGGCGTTTGACCTAGACTGGTTTTGGTGAACCACAATCATGTTGCCTAGGTGGTGCGAGCTTGACTGAAGTTGTTGACGTGAGTAGTGTCTGTACAGCCTGCACACTGCACAGTCTGTACCGTGCATGTCCTTGTTGTCCACATGATCATGGTGGTCGGGCACACGGTGGGGACTCATATATATTATAGTATGAAATCACCAGGTCTTATTTTTGCAAGCTGAGTAAACCTCAGACAAAAACTCGAGCACTTGCACCGTCGAGACCTGCCGTTGCAATTCTTTAGTATTCCTTCTCTCTTTGCGGAGCTGTAATGCGTGTACGCGTGTAGACAATCGTGAGAACAAGCCAATGATGATCAGCGCTGCAGTGTACAGTTTGCCTGAGTTTGGGGTGTGAATTGCTCCGTCACACGGATGCAAGCAATCCTGAGACCATCACGCAATCGATCAATTTCCAAGCCCGAAACAAAACAAGTGTATCTCGCCGAGCCAGCCAACAACACGACATACACGTACAATGTACGATCATGTAGCTAGCTATTCTAAGACTCGTGTTATCTCAGCACACACCCTGCTACATGCACGGTGTTTCAATGACGATTCACGCACCACCTTAGACTCGCGCAGTATCTCAGAGAACAACGCTTTGTCGGCACTGGGGGGTAGCTATCGGCTGATAAGCCGGTGCGGTGGCCCTGGCTAGGATTGGCAGCGAGGGTGCTTACCGATATGGTAATATTAATGCGATGGTCCCGACCTATGGGCACCGGGCGATACTGAGATTACAAAGTATACAACAATTCACAGCTGAGCGGCTAGGTTCGGAGGGTAGTGTATTGGTCAGCAGCGCTGCTGCGCGACACAATAGAAAGAATTTATCTTTCTCTTAGTAACGAATCGTCGAGGAAGTGGTGATACGTGTATTGATGTAGTAACTACTTGGTGATATCTGATGACCACAATGTCACTAGTGTATCATGGTTCCGTACCCTGGCGCTGCGTGTGGTCCACCAGTGACCACCAGCTACCCGCAGTCACGAATCCTCTGTATGACTACTATGACTGGATTGAGGTGTAAACTATGTTTGTGTGTGCATGTGTGTTTTGTGTGGCTGAAACCGAGAGCGAACACGTCGCTATTAGGTATTAGCCGAGTATATGGTCACACCTTAACCACTGTTTGATTTGCGATATCATCAATTGCTGCAGTGTGTGTGTGTGTGTGTGTGTGTGTGTGTGTGTGTGTGTGTGTGTGTGTGTGTGTGTGTGTGTGTGTGTGTGTTGTTGGCGCCCGCATGCTCAATCACACATTCAATACGAATCGGTGAGCCCTTGATATTCAACTCTGTGATTTGTTTGTTTATCCCCAGCATGATTCGGACCTTTGTGTCAATACTGATCATGATCCAATTGATCGTCTTTAAAGAAAAACTACCATCTAAGATCTTTGAAATGGCATGCACCAGTATGCACAGATACACGCACAGTATGCACACATACACGCACACACGCACAGTATCCACACATACACGCACACACGCACAGTATCCACACATACACGCACACACGCACAGTATGCACACATACACGCACACACGCACAGTATGCACACATACACGCACACACGCACAGTATCCACACACAAGTAGAACCAGGGGATGTACAGGTATGCGAATGATGTAGCATGCAGTCTGCAATACCGACCACCAAGCCATCCCACATGCTTGTTCGCTGTTCCCTGCCCCAAAACGCACACGGAGAAAGGTCATGCTATCTTTCATGTACAGGCATTATGACGACAAGATTGAACACTACTGAACTGATAGTTGGAGCATTGTCATGACAAGCAAGGTCCCGGGTTCAAGTCCTGGTTGGGCTGGCATTCTTTTTCTCTTTTCAGGCAGTTCACTTCCCGACTGATCCGTTGAATATTGAACTGCATGATTGTACGTATGCTGTCGAAGTGCAGAAGTGCACTTTTTTTACTGTAGTGTAGCGTTGTGGTGACACTGTAGTGTATTCACGGTAGTGTGGGAGGAAAGGTGGCACCAAGCCTTATCTTTGTACTGTACTCTCTGTAGCTCTGACCTGGACAGGACCTATCTACACCCACAGGAGCGCTTTGGAAACAACATTAGAAGTCATGTGGTTGCAGATAAGAGGAAGGTGAGTGAGCGGCGTGACTGCCAAACCGCCATCATGGCATCCAAATCGCAATAGCTAATGACAGTACTAGTGTGTCACTAGTACTGTCTCTAGTGTGTCACTAGTACTGTCTCCTCGCAGTCCTCGGCAACATCTCTGACCATCTTGCTGTACAATGCGAGCTCGTCTTTCGGCTGGGCTAGACCCCGTAGGCTATCTAAACATTTCACCCCTGTTCAGTGTTGTGCAACCCTGGTTGTCCCTTCTGGTGGTTTTGCTTTTGCTGAAAGACCTGGTAAGTCTTTAGATAACTGTCGACCTCAGGTACTTCAATGGTCGGTCCCCCGTGTCTGGTTTTGTTTGGTTTTCATTATTTCATTTCGTTGCCTCTACAGGAATGGACTCAGATGGAGAGCCAAGGTTTAATTTATACAAAATAGAAAGACTAAGGAACTGTTGGAGTGCGCATCCAAACTGTGCTAGAGCTGTTAGCCAGTTAGTTGTAGAACGTCAGTACCGTCGGTCAGTGTCGTGCAATGTTATCGCATGAGCTGATTGTTAAGTAACTGGTGGTGTTAGTGGACAGTATAGCGTAACTTGTAGTTCCTTAGTCTTTCTCTTTTGTATTAGTTGCCTCTACAGTACTGGAAATATCAAGAGGGACGAGCGGAAAAGAAAAAGTAAACTGAGCAGAGCAGAAAGTAAAGGTGTAACTGGAAGAAAGGAAAACAATGGATAGGGGATATGGACTAGGTGCATTTAGGCAAGACATGGCCAGAAGGGGGCAAGTGTGTCCGAGGTGACATGCGTACATGTACGCCTGAACTGTGCCTATACTTTCATCCTTGTGCTACTCTCGTCATGCAATGTTCACATCAAGAATTTAGCCGCCGCCCGTTACCTTGGTGAGGCAAGCCAAAACAAACGCACATGCTGCCAATTCTCCAACGATGTGCAGGCAGAAACTAGATTGCCAAGCTAAGATCAGATGATCCGCAGCTGCAGCGACTTACCCGCCTGACCTCCATCGACAATGGCCTACCTATAACCTGACCATAGCCTCCTAGGTTTACGACAAGCTGTGAAAAAAAGAAAAAAATACATTGCAGCGACCAAGACTGGCAAGAGTCGTCATCTTGCCATAACCTACAGACGAGAAACACTTCCGCAAGATGTACATCAACGTGCTGCTGCACATGCCGGAGCACATGTTGCACAGTTCTATACGACACCCGCTATTGGACAACACCAAGAGATTATGTGTGGGCACATTATGTTGTCACTGGCGAGAGTTAACCTGGACTGGCTGGAGCGTTCATACTCCTTGTGTATTCTGTTGTTGATTTCATGTAAGTTCTTCCAAGTACCTCCTGTTTGTTTTCACAGAGTATCCAGTCCTATTCCACCGCGGCCAGCTCCGTTCACTGATCGGCTTTGTCTGGCCGCAGAAGATCGCAACAACAGCACTCTACGACAGGTGCAAGGCAGAGCCGATCAGCCGCATCATCACCAGAGCTCGATGGAGGCTATTTGGCCATATCCTTCGACTTCCCAGTGATGCCCCCGCCGTCCTAAGCATGGTCAGCTACTTTCAATGTGATGACCACAAGTGGAGAGGCCGCCCTCGCATCACCCTGCCGGTGAAGCTCGACGACGACCTCCACCGAGCTGCGTGCGGGCGATTGCAGAGCCTGGAAGATCTGGAGCGCCTATCAGACGTAGCTGCAGTTCGAAGCGAATGGAGGCAGCTACTGGATATGATCTGCAAGTAGGGATGCGGCGATGAAACCGCGCCGTCACCTTTTTCCCAGATCACGGAAATATCGCTCAATGCACTTTAAACATTCTATACACAAAGGATTTATAGCTACGTTTGTGCTTGTTGTCTTTATGTCTCCTATATCAACTGCTTCTCTTACCATGTCCAGCATAAGCGAACGTGTGGACTGTGTTTGTGCATGGGCGACTTGCCCTTGCACTGTTGACGCTGCCGCGGGAATGCATATAATAATAATAATCCAGTCCTATAAATAGAGAGTGCACCTCAGATATACCGCCATGTGCTTGTATTCATTTGTTTGGTGATTACCTTGGCCATGAGTACATGGATTACATTGTATAGTGCATAAGTACAATCAACAGCACGTGAACAGTACCCTGGATGCAGTACACACACAAGTAAACATACCAGTTTGATACATGTAATGCTTGCAGCTCAGACGCCGCGTATTTCTTTTCCCTCTGGCTGCCCGCTGGTGGTATCTATGGCCCATTCAATCCTCAGACCACTAGCTGGACAGGCCTGCGTGGTGACATCAGGGCATCGGGGTCTCTCCGAATATTTAAGCCACGGAGTTTGGCCTCACGCATTGTTGCTACATGACTGTACTAATGCCAGTAATGGTCGAGTCAAGCAATGACCTCCGGAGGCTGTACGAGTCCTCCTTTACCCTAAAGAAATATAAAGGAGGATCTAAACAATCATACACTTAGACCTGGTACACCCTGTCCTGGGCATGGGAGGCCCGGCTCCCTAGCGAGTTGCGGCTTTTTACTTGCCACGGATGCAAACAAGGGAAATACTTCGAGAGCTGACAGCCGATCTGCACCGAAGCTTACCTGCAACAGTCCGAAACTGCACGCATCTCTTCTGGTTTCAACCTAGACTCGCTGTTCAAGTTCAGCAGAGTATCGAGCATGTCATATAACTGAACAGTTCAGGGGAACGGTCTCCTGCTTGTGTGTCAGGTGACTCAGGTCGACGACGAACATTGGAGTGGAATCACTATTACCACTGCATTATGTAGTCACTCTTGGCACTGGTAGACTATCCGGATATCCGTCCATGTTCCCACGGTGCTAACACCAAACACTCACACAAGAGTCAAGACTCAGCATACACTCACACCAGACTCACACATGACTCACACGCGTAGTGAATCACACACGACTCACAGTCACACCAGAGACCAGACTCGCACACGACGCACCGCATCCTCGCACGAACATTCACACAGCGAGTTCTTGGCTGATGATTTCTCATTTAACTACTCAATGATCAGGAATGTATTATTTATGGTGTGATTAGGAGTCGACTGGGTACATCACTACACAATCAAGACTTAGAATATTATGTTATGGTGGTAATGTTAGTACTAGCAGTATAAGAAAGTAAGATTACGTTATGTGGGCGATATCTTATCCTATGATCAGGATCGTCTACACTATAACCCAAAATTAATGATAGTCTTATATGCGCTGTGGCAACTGTAAGGACCTCCGGAGCTGGAGGGGTGAGCGGTGAGCGTGATTACTTACAGAGTGTGTAAACCCTAGCGCTACGGACACTATCCTAAACTGCCGTATATTATATTATTGGAATGGAGGAGGAGAAACCTATCCTCACGCCTGCATCAATCTTCATACTGAGGCTAACTTACTACGGCTAAGTGCAGCATTGTCTATGCGATAGTGTGGGTGCCTAACTCACACCTTTACTCTCAGACAAGCTAAAAATAAAAAGAAGAAGCAATTACACTGGTGATGAATGTGGCGAGTGAGTCATGGAATACTATTATCATTATGCAACTTGTGTAATACATCACTATGGGAGATTGGGCATGTCTGATTGGTTCTGAGTTCAATCCTCAGGCTCAGCGCATACACATTACAGTAAGAGCTCAAGTAAAGTATTCAGTACTATCCTGTATAGGATTATCGGCACCGAGCAGGTAGGGAATGGGTCACACTATCAACCCTCAACAGTCTAGTCACGGGCAGTGAGAGAGCACAGTGTTGGATACCACGTTACACCTGGTTAGATTGCATCCTTGTCCTCTGAGGTGACCGTGTCGCTGATCTCGTCATTGGTGACGGAGTCAGGAGCGGCAGTCGTGGCAGCCTCGGTGGCCACCTCCGTGGTGGGTGCCTCGGTTGCTGCCTGCGTAGTGGGCTCCATCGCTTCTGTGGCTGCGGCCGTCACCCTCATTTCAGCAGGCGCTTGTGGATCCCTGGCCTGGACAGCCGGTGCACATTCATCCGATGAGTCGGATGAGTCGGATGAGTCGGAGTCGTCACTGCTCGAGTCGTCCTCGCTGCTGCGGCGGCGGCGGCATCCAGAGGCGGAGTCGGAGTCGGAGTCTGACGAATCATCCGAACTGGAGCGCACCTCAATGCTGCGTGCATGGATGGCTGCAATCACAGCCAGTCCAATGAAGAGGAAACATAGCACTTTGCGGGAAGATTCCATGGTGAAGGTTGGAGGAGATTGAAAACAAGCGTCTTGCTGTCTAAACACAAGGAAGTGGACACTTGTTGATCAAGAGCAGTCAGAAGATGAAGAAAGTGATCAGGACGTCCGCCCTCTTATACACTATGAGAAGAATAGACCCATCGGTGTCCATCGTCTTCCAAAGCCAACATACGTACATTCGCACACGCACAAACACACACGCACACACACACACACGCACTCACACACATGCGGGCGCGCGCATTTGAGCAGGCTTGCACATATCACATCTTTCCTTCTGATCATCTTCCTTCATCATCTCTCTACCACTGTCGCTAGCTGGAGTGCCTTTCGTTAACTGCTGAGGTTCCGGCGGAAATTCTAGCAAGTGCGTGGAAGTGCTTGAGTGTGTCTTTGGACAAGGGAATTCAGCATGTTATTCATGCTTCCCGGTGAGCTGTTCTTTTGAACTTCAAGCAGTACAGGTAATTTAGCGCTGCTGCGGGAGAAGTAATCAAACTTTCCCTTGAGATGATGACCAGTGGCGTGAAAACCTGCGATCGCTTCAGGAAGAGCGTCCGGTTCCCTCACCAAGCTCTCCGCCTGAGATATGTAAATATTACGCTCAGAAACATGACATGGAGAGGGAGAGTCTGCCGCGGAAACATTTCGGGGAGGCTTAGATACATATCGGCACATCGGTGGGTCTGTATCAGAGGCTCAATACGTGTTTGTTGCACTGCGGGCACTCGTCTGTGACTAGAAATGAGTGCAAGTATCGCTGTGTGACCGCAATGCACCCTACCTGGTCCCAACAAACTGTATTTGTCACGGGCAGGTGTAGCCTGTAGGCTGAACATCCCGGAGGCTGTTGATTATTGTGTGTTTACCAAGCTGTTCCACCTGCACGCCCGGAAATGAGAGGTCAAGTGGATTTGTCCCAAGTCTTTGCTGCTATAGAACCATAGGCATAGGGGCTGTAGCCTGTAGGTACTCGTACCCGTCTCGTGGTGAACAATCATTATGTTATAGTAGTCGGCGTTTGACCAAGACTGGTTTTGGTGAACCACAATCATGTTGCCTAGGTGTCGCGAGCTTGACTGAAGTTGTTGACGTGAGTAGTGTCTGTACAGCCTGCACAGTCTGTACCGTGCATGTCCTCGTTGTCCACATGATCATGGTGGTCGGGCACACGGTGGGGACTCATTATAGTATGAAATCACCAGGTCTTATTTTTGCAAGCTGAGTAAACCTCAGACAAAACTCGAGCACTTGCACCGACGAGACCTGTCGTTGCAATTCTTTAGTATTCCTTCTCTCTTTGCGGAGCTGTAATGCGTGTACGCGTGTGGACAATCGTGAGAACAAGCCAATGATCAGCGCTGCAGTGTACAGTTTGCCTGAGTTTGGGGTGTGAATTGCTCCGTCACACGGATGCAAGCAATCCTGAGACCATCACGCAATCGACCAATTTCCAAGCCCGAAACAAAACAAGTGTATCTCGCCGAGCCAGCCAACAACACGACATACACGTACAGTGTACGATCATGTAGCTAGCTACTCTAAGACTCGTGTTATCTCAGCACACACCCTAACGTTACTACATGCACGGTATTTCAATGACGATTCACGCACCACCTTAGACTCGCGCAGTATCTCAGAGAACAACGCTTTGTCGGCACTGGGGGGGGGGGTAGCTATCGGCTGATAAGCCGGTGCGGTGGCCCTGGCTAGGATTGGCAGCGAGGGTGCTTACCGATATGGTAATATTAATGCGATGGTCCCGACCTATGGGCACCGGGCGATACTGAGATTACAAAGTATACAACAATTCACAGCTGAGCGGCTAGGTTCGGAGGGTAGTGTATTGGTCAGCAGCGCTGCTGCGCGACACAATAGAATTTATCTTTCTCTTAGTAACGAATCGTCGAGGAAGTGGTGATACGTGTATTGATGTAGTAACTACTTGGTGACATCTGATGACCACAATGTCACTAGTGTATCATGGTTCCGTACCCTGGCGCTGCGTGTGGTCCACCAGTGACCACCAGCTACCCGCAGTCACGAATCCTCTGTATGACTACTATGACTGGATTGAGGTGTAAACTATGTTTGTGTGTGCATGTGTGTTTTGTGTGGCTGAAACCGAGAGCGAACACGTCGCTATTAGGTATTAGCCGAGTATATGGTCACACCTTAACCACTGTTTGATTTGCGATATCATCAATTGCTGCAGTGTGTGTGTGTGTGTGTGTGTGTGTTGTTGGCGCCCGCATGCTCAATCACACATTCAAAACGAATCGGTGAGCCCTTGATATTCAACTCTGTGATTTGTTTGTTTATCCTCAGCATGATTCGGACCTTTGTGTCAATACTGATCATGATCCGATTGATCGTCTTTAAAGAAAAAGTACCATCTCTTTGAAATGGCATGCACCAGTATGCACACATACACGCACAGTATGCACACATACACGCACACACGCACAGTATGCACACATACACGCACACACGCACAGTATGCACACACAAGTAGAACCAGGGGATGTACAGGTATGCGAATGATGTAGCATGCAGTCTGCAATACCGACCACCAAGCCATCCCACATGCTTGTTCGCTGTTCCCTGCCCCAAAACGCACACGGAGAAAGGTCATGCTATCTTTCATGTACAGGCATTATGACGACAAGATTGAACACTACTGAACTGATAGTTGGAGCATTGCTCATGACAAGCAAGGTCCCGGGTTCAAGTCCTGGTTGGGCTGGCATTCTTTTTCTCTTTTCAGGCAGTTCACTTCCCGACTGATCCGTTGAAT